TGAATGCCAAACTGGGAGCAGACAACACAGGAAGAGAACTTATCACAGGTCGAGAAGCGCTCGGTGAGGTGATGAACGAGAATGGAGAACTGCTTGCAGAATTTTGCGCATCCAGCGATTTGGTGATTGGAGGCACCGTGTTCAGGCACAAAGACATACACAGAGCGACATGGATTTCCCCAGATAGACACCCCAAAAGTCAGATCGTCTTCATCTCAATGTGAAGAAAGTGGAGACGCAGTCTACTGGACACAAGATTAGACCAAGAAGAGGAGCAGATGTCGGTTGACACCATTCACTATCTAGTGCAAGAAACCTACCTCCAAAATCAAGTTGGAGGCCTTCAAGGGAGTTGGTGATAGACCACAGCTCAAGTTCAACACCCAGAACAGAACGTAAGCTGAAGGAAGAAACTACAGAGAAAATCTTCACGTCAGCCATCAAGACAAAATGGGAGATATCGAAAGACATCCCTGAACAAACCTGTGTGAAAGCTATGTGGAAAGAAACCTGCATGACCGTATTAGGAGGAAGAAGAAAGAAGATAAGGAGTGGATCTCGACGGACATATGGGAGCTGGTGGAGCAGGGAGAGGAAGATGGTGATGGTGAAGCAGAAGATAAACCAGTGCAGTGCAAGGATGAATGACGAAAAGAGAAACTGAACACAACCTGTAAAACACTACAGTGGACAAAGAATTGAAGAAGAGTGCGTGCAAAGACAAAAGACACTTCTATAACACACTGGCAAGTGAAGCAAAATAGGCTGCTGGTAGGCGACACAGAGACCTGACAACATTGTATCAAATAATCAGGTTACTATCTGGGAGGGGAGAGATCAACACAGGTGAAACTAATCAAGGATGATGGTGGAAATTTAATTGTCAAAGAAGGGAAACAAAGGAAACGATGGGCTGACCACTTCAAAAAACTCTTGAATCCACCACCACCACCACCTTCACTTTGTCCAGAAATACCACCTGCAGCCCAGCCACAGAACTACAAGTGAACACAAGCCCTCCAACGAAAGTCGGAGTCTTGAATGCCATAAGGCTACTGAAATCCTGGAAAGCAGCAGAACCAGATGGAATACCGCCAGAAGCACCGAGAACAGATGCAGAGACAACAGCGGATATGCTCACACCACTATTGCAGAAGGTGTGGAAGGAAGGAAGGGAAGATACCTGGTCACTGATTGGAAGAAGGGCTACCTTGTCAAACTCCCAAGGAAAGGAGACCTGAGTGTTTGCAAGAACTGGCGTGGAATCACGCTCCACTCCTGTCCACCCAATGCAAGCAAAATATTAAGCCGCATCATCCTGGAGAGACTAAAGGATGCACTGGATTCAAAACTACCACCCGAACAGGCTGGCTGGATTCAGGAAGCACAAATCATGTGCAGACCAAATTGCATCGCTTGCATCATCATAGAACAGAGTATAGAATGGCAGTCAACTCTCCACCTCAACTTCATCGACTTTGAAAAGGCCTTTGACAGCGTCGACTGACAAGTAATTAGGCAACTGCTACAACACTATGGATGAAATTACACAAACCTTTATCAACCTCATTCAACTACCATATGAAGACACCACATGCCAGCCAAGTAATTCACAATGGGATGCTCAGTGACGCCTTTGAAGTGAAAACAGGAGACAGGAGTAAAACAAAGCTGTCTACTATCACCCATGATCTTCTTGATTGTGGTGAAGTGGATCGTGCAACAAAGTGTGAGGAGCGAGAAGAGGGGGATACACTGGACTGGGGAAAAGAACCTAGAGGATTTGGATTTTGTCAACGACTTGCATCTAATGTCACACAGACTTGAAGATCTACAGGCAAAATCCAACAAGTTGGTAGAGGAGGAAGCGAAGACGGGACTTCCCTCAGGTGAACGTAGAGAAGACAGAGGTGATGAAGATACCCAACCACCACCATCACCACCACCACTAACAAGCTCCAATCACTATCAACGGGAGAAACTTAAAGGAAGTAGCCTCTTTCACCTATCTAGGCAGCACTGTTGCAACTACAGGCGGCAGTGGCACAGACGAGGATGTCAAAGCCAGCCAGGATCGGAAAAGCAAGATAGGCCTTCGTTCATTAGCCTGAAACCAGTGTGGAGATCCACTGCACTCAGCTCAGCATAAAGCGTGAACAAGATCCGGATTTTCAACACCGACGTCAAGTCAGTGCTTCCATGTGATGGTTGAGAGACTTGGCGCGTTACGAAAGAGATTTTCAACAAACTACAGACATTCATCAACAACTGCCACCTACGCTCACTCGATACTGAAGATCAGATGGATTGCCAGAAAGAATAAGCAACAAGGAACTCTCGTTGGGCAAGGAACCAATCAAGAAGCTTTCACGCAACAAATATGCAGTGAAAGGAAGTGGAGATGGATTGGGCATACACTGAGAAGGTCGACTGAGGATATCACGCGTCACGCCAGGTACTCGAGTGGAATCCCCATGGGAAGCGACGAGTTGGACGTCCAAGGGTGACATGGAGGAGATCGTGTGGGAAAGAAATGAAAGCTTGTGGGCTATCTTGTAGCCAGGTTCAAAAGATTTCAGAGAAAGGAGTTCACTGGAGACGTGCTGCGGAAGCCCTATGTTCCACTAGTAATCCAAGGGACAAATAATAATAATAATAATAATAATCAATCCCTGAGTGGACAGTTTTATCACCTCTATAGCCGTAACCAGGCCGTCACAAAGCTGCATTTCTTTTTAACGAATATAATCAATTAGCTTCAAAATTCGGTAGCAGTGAAGTAATTCTCTTCATCAGCTCCTCCTCAAAACACAAACCCACTAAAAGTTGATGTAATTAGAATTGTTTTTTTTAAATGAAATACCCAAAAAATGTTGTTTTTTTGATGCAATGAGTAGTATAGATGTATTTCAAAGCCAGTTTTCAGAGCAGTTCAGACTTCCACTAGGACATTAGAGATATGATGGTTATTTGTCTTTTTGAATTAAAATGCAGTGGAATGATTTCTAAGTACCGAATGAACTTGAGGCAATGAATTTTCATCGGAACTAGCACGAAGTGATTCACAGATCTCATTTAATAATGTAGCTATTCACTGTTGCAAATTTATCATTTCACAACATTCTAGCTTATACGAACAAGCTATTGTTAAGCTATCGTAATTACTCAAAGTCTCTGGCTGGCGTTTCTTGTTAATTTTTTTTACCTACTAAATATGAAGAACATTTTAGTTTATAGGAGTTGAATATTTGGCTGCAGATACCATACGCTTAGTTATCTTCCACTACAGTAAACATTTTGTAGAAGAAGTGTAAGTACATAAAACTATTTGTGTTATATGTACTGTCACTTGATTCTGGGTTGGTAACTCATGGTATGCTTCATCTAAGTTCCGTTTCAGGAGTCTAAGCAAATATTCAATATTGTCATTCATAGATAAATTCCTACATGCGAAAGGTACTGGATTACAACTTGTGAATATTTATTCACCCAAGAAAATACAGTATTAGGTGGTGGTCCATGTGTATAAAGACAGCCACTAAATTATGAGTAAAATGATTGTTTAGAATCTAATAAATAGCAATCTAAGTGGCGAATAGTAATATAAATGACGATGGTAATAAAAAAATATTGACTATGATCAGTTGCAAGCCAGATTCTAATTTTCTAATATCTGATCCCTGGTATGGGGAATCAATGATTGAGACTTGAGCCACAGTAGGCTCTCAATCGATCAGCAAGATTTAATGGTCAAACAGTAACAAGGATTAGGTAAAGGTTACTTGGAATTCAGTAATTTTAAACTACATAAGTGCTACAAAATATTCACTGGAATTCATTTTCCAACTGTTTATACTCAGAGGCCGTTTGTAGAGAAAATGTGAACAAAGATTTAAGACATTGCCTGGGATAAGTTGGTTATGTACCTGGATAAAACTATAAAGTGACTTCTCTTTTACAATCATATCAGGAATAAACTTCTGCTCTTTGGGCTGCTGATGTTTATTGGTTTAGCTGACCCACACAGGCTTATACACCCGCTTTAGAGGTGAAAGATTAAGAGTTTATTTTACCTAGTAAAGTATATCGATTGTGCAGTAAAAACTGGCTGAAAGGCAAAATGTTAGATTGACTATTAACGCTTTAATTTGATTGCTATCTGTAGGATGGGATGCACTTTTACATTGCTAAGTTAAAACAGTTGAGAAAATATATTTTCCTGGAAGTAAACAACAGATAAGGTGACAATTATTTGTTTAACCGATCTCAAAATTCTATCACTATTCATTTTTCGTCATTGGTTGATTGAACAAAAAAAACACCTACCTTAGTAAAGTTCTCCAGTCCTATGCCTAAATTGTAGTTAGGAATTAAAGCCAGGTCAAAGTGGTAACTGTAAGCTTATTACAACGTACTGGGTGACAAGGTTTCTTTCAGTTAGTTCTGTCAAGTAATTCTTCATGATTTGACATAAATCCTGGGTAAGTGGTTTGTAGTAGGGGTCAAAATATTCTCGATTCTATATTTTCAGTACAAGGAAGACTAAATAGCTGATATGAAGTTGAGTGAAGTAACCAGGTTTGAGTAGTTTTCGAATTTGCAGGTGATATTCTGACCTAATTACTGATAGAGAGATTGTAAATCACCCCCTCAAAATATTGTCATAAAGCCATTAAGTCACTGACGAATAACAAAATGCTGCGAGCAGTGGATTAATTGGAGAAAAAAGTTCAAAGACGACAAACAGGGATCCATCAGCCCTCTAAAAGTGTACCTGAAGTGGGTTTGATGTTTCAAGAGATGCGTATTAGATGTACATAGCTTACTCATCATCTCTTGTACGTCATGCTCTTAATAATCTGCAACAGACTATACTGTCTGCGCGATATAGAAATTTAAGCTTCGAGGGTTAGTTGTACACCAGCGATACTAGCAGAAGCAAAAGCACAAGTAATAGGTAGATATGAATTACTATACTCCATTTTACCACTTATTTATAGAAACCAAACAATCAATCTACTGAATTAACAAAACTAAGTTATATCCAAAATATATTTCTTGTTCATAGTACCTTTCATTTTGAAAGTAATAGATACAACTTATCGGGAAATACTGAACATGCACCAACATTCCATTATTGAATGAGTTAATTTGTTTGTAAGTGACTGACCAGACTTATGCTGAACACTCTGTGCTATTCGAGTCATTTAAATAACCAAAAATACACGTAAACGTACCTGTACATACCTTTACGAGTACACTTTAGTTCAGAGCACCTCGAAATACTCTGTAAAGGGATACTGAATATCAATTTTCATAGTGAGTATTAATTGACTATTATTAATACCGCTATTCTAGCTATTAATATTTTAAACATTCCTACATGGGTAGATATTATAACAACAGAATTGAAAATATCTTTATGCTACCACTTAAATAAAGACACTTTCCAAACATGAATGACAAGAAAAATTGCTGTCTGCCATTTAAAATACATTTAGTTAGACAAATACGGGAGCAGAGAGAATGAAACCAGATGAATGTCTAAAATAAAAAAGACAAAAGGCAAACTCCGTTTTCTGCTATGTTCGAATGCAGTATGAAACAAGCGTTTTAGATAGACACTTGAACCCTATACACCTGCATATATATATTTATAAATTATATGCATAAGTGAATTTAAGAGTGGAGATGGGCTGTAGTGCATAAATCAGAATATATATATGAATATATACGCCGGAAATCGTTGGACGTTATATATAAAACCAGTTATGACTGATTTATTTCTGTATATTAATGAGCGAAAACAAAACATGATATGTTGTACCGAATTCTGGTAATCCCACACACCTACTTACTAAAGGCTAAAGTGGATAGTGGAATGGTGAGACAAAAGCAAAGTAATGTACAATGAAACTGTGAATTTTTTCGGATGTTTATCCTGTAATTACGGACTTCTCAAAAATTGTAGTTCGTAATATTGTTTATGAGAAAAGGGAAGTGAATGAAGTGTGATTTAACTGTGGATGTACACTTGCATACTAAGTTACTTACAATTTTCTGGTTTTGTAATTTATTCAACAGTTTGTTCACCTTTCTGTTAAACTTTTTAGTGTTTTAATGTGTTTGATAAATCCGTTCATTTATTATTCTCACCGCTTTTATTCCTAACCTTTTAAAACTATACGTTATAATAAATATACTTTGTTTAGATAAGAATAAAAAAGCAGTGTGTCGATATGCAAAACGAAGCAAATATGATATAGTATAATACCAATAATAATTATAGTAGCTTGTTCAATTTTTATTTCACATACCTTTCGTTTATCAGCTTGATAAAGCCGAAATGTTTAATAGCACAGTTTTAATTCTTTATGGGAGGTACAAAGTTATAAATTAACTTGAAAAATCATTAAAAAAACATAATAGTCAAAGAATAAATTTCATATAGTGGCAAAAATGAAAGTCAGCCAAAAAGGTCAATGGACTTTTACTGGAGTCGATTATATCCGAAAATACTCATAAACGACAGTTAGCACATGTGCTAAAAATAAGCAGTAATAGTGTTTATAGAGAAATTAATATATTTTGTGACAATAAATTCATGTTGAAGCATCCTGTTTAACTTTATTTGTGAAAGTCTAAACGCCATATTTAAAAGTTTTTCTCCGAACCATCCAATTAGTAGATAACTCTGAATCACAAACTAGACTCCATTTTGGAAAACAATCTGTTTACTATCTCCTGTTAGCGGAGGCTTCATCTTCATCATTCCACCACGGGTTATGCATCGAAGAGTCCTCTGTTTAAATGGTTAAAGTATGTTTACTTAACCTTGCTAAAGCTTTTTGACGATAAACTAAGGTGTAAATCAAGATGTAAGTTTCATCTTGTTATGAATGAACTGGATTCAGTAGCTTTAGGTTTTCGCTATCAGCAGATTCTTTTTGACATGAAACACGGTAAACCAGCACTATGGTTTTGTCGAATAACCTGGCGAATGCTTTAATTGACATTCGCTACCTAAGCAAGTCAAGGGTAAGTGTAACGTTATAATTCATACGCTCAAAATAATATTCTCTGTCACTGCTCATTCATTTGTTGACCAACGTTGCTGCTCATAGCATGCTTCACTAAGAATAGCTTAGAAAGATACATAGTCGAATATAGTCATTTAATCAACAGTAGGTGTTTTTTCAGTGTATCGTTTGACATTTCAATAATACCTCTTACTTTTTTCATTCATTCTCCAAGTAATTTATCTTAGTTTAGTTGTGACTAAAAGGTGAATTTTTGTTGTAATTTTTAAACTTTTTTAATTTCACCAAATGAATATGTCACCATCCCAATGAATCCAGAGTTCCGAACTGAACTTCAACTCAGCATTCATTGCTTCAGATTCCGGAGCATTATTCAACTGACCACTGAGTAAATCGACTATTTTCTTAGGTGACAGAAATATTTTATTTGCATTTTATATTTCTACTCTGTTCACTTCACAAAACTGAAAAGACTGATTTCTGTTGGGAAGCAAACGAGATTGAATCTAGCAGAAGCGAATGGCATAGAAGTTTATTGTAGGACACAAATGTTTCCAGATTCGAAATGCAACTCAGATTTTCTGTACTGAAGTGTTGTATCGCTCTTTTCGCACGATCCAAGTACTTTTCAGCCCTTCTTTTCATGGGAATAAAATAAATACGTTTGCTTACATTCCATGGCACACAATGTCTTGTCATGTTTCGAGAATCCGTCAGCCGAAGCCATATTAGATATTATAAGTTATAGTTAAATAGCTTCCCATCTATGCAACTTCAGACAGTTTGATATGAGAGGACACATTTACGATCTGTAGATCAGCGTGTGAACTTACTTCCACATTATAAGCACATAAGAAACCAGGTGTTGCAGCCGGTTACTAGTAAAAAATTAGGTGGTCGTAAGTTATTGGTGATGTAATTTTTTAGTTTGATCAGAATACAAAGTTAAAAAACATTTTCTGAAATTGAACAGGCAACGTTGATGCTACAAGCCTCTGAATTTGATTCTGCTTGACCATTGATGAAGCTCGACCTAAGTTACCAAGCTGTCAGAATATATCAGAAACGACGGAATCTTCAAAAATTCTGTCAGTTGCCTTAGTGATGAGAACCATAACTGAAAGTACGCAGCAGTGACAATAAAGATAAATAAAGGATGATATCGATTTCATTTTCAAACTCATACTTCCACATAGATTTATAAATGTTGAAATTATAGCCTAAAGCAATTAGAGTCTCATTAAATATATGGTAGGGTTTTGTGGAAGCATGAATACTTAGTAACGTTCTCCTAAAGGTTCTATTAGATTATTGGACAGATTAACAGTTTGATAGTTAAGGCTGTTTTAACCACTTAAGCTCTTTACTTCAGGTATTAATTTAGTATAGTCTGTGAAAAGTCAAGGGTTTTTTTTATTATATGAAAGCAGATTTTACTGAACTTGAAGGCTTAAACTCTACCATAGATGAAATGTAACCGGTAAAAGCCTTGTTCATCAGCCATGGAGGTCAGTATAGATTTCTCTGAATAGTAGGACTATTTCTTCAAATCCGTGATTTAGTTTATTTTACAATTTGAAGCTCTCCAGTTAGGAATAAATGGAACTAATCACAAAGGGACGCCTTTATTCTACGCCATCATCAGTAATTGGATCATTTTGGTGACTGTCTTTCTAATTTAAATTGTTTCAAGGTGTTTAAAGAATAAGACTTTCAAAAGTTTATACAGATATTTCTTTGGTCAAACCCTCCTCGAATTCGTTAGGTCATACCTCTCAGTTTCCTCGAAACACTGTACCAATACAAAGATACTGTGAATATAATGATCCAACCTATCGACTTGCTTTACTAAGAGTTTTTCAATTTTCTTCATGTTTGGAGATAAAAAGTAGCCTAGTTTGCATGTTACAGTCTCACTGTCATTTAACTTTCCTGTTTGTTGGTTATCAGTTGACTAAAAAAACAGTTTACAATCAACCATCCACATTAGCTCCCACAAAATAGGTTGAAACACTTCAATATTTATTCATGGAGTAAGTACGCACCTTACTCGAAAAATATTAATCACTTCGCCTAGGATTAAATTAGCACAATAGTCAGTTAAGTATTCAGTGGTCAAGCGTACATAGACCGTTGTACATTTTCTTAGTTCTTTCAAATTATTTCCACCTAATGACTTGTCAAATGGATGGAACAGGTTGAATATAGAAGAATATTTTGAAAAAATTTCTCACCGATGGAACGAAACTAAACCAGACAACCATACATATTAGTATGCTTATATGTCTTTAAAATTTTATCCATAGTTAAACGTTATTGTTTTGTTGTTTCGTTATGATGAAGCAAAAGAATTTCCCCGCTAATGAGGCAAAACTGAAATAGGTCTTGGTTAAACATATATTATGGATTTTGTGGGTAGGGAACGTGTGCACATATAGAGTCGGTTTCTCCATATGTTCCGTTTTCAAATATTTTTTGCCTTCCTTTAACATTTCTGGTTTACATTAATATTTTTCACTAACAGTGTCACACAATTTTTGCGGTGTTTTTTCTCCACCTGTCACAGTTTTCGTTCTTTGTATTACTATTACTAATAGTTCTACCACTAGTACTATTTTTCGCCCGTAAAATACCTTAGTTTCCGTTAGAAGTTAAAAACCACAGTCCAAAATAAATAATATGACACGACAAACCTTATTAATATTATCAGCATTTTTTTATAAATTACCCATATTATTTGTACATGGTTTTCCTACTGATACGATATACCTCTTCCACATTAATTTTCACGCATGTGTTAAACTCGGAATGATCGTTAACAAATTTAAGTCTAGTGAAATGAAAAGTGCACGAAAACAAAGAGAAATGCCTATGTACAATCTCTAACTTCGGTGATATGAACTACACGAATGATAATTTTTCGTACACGGTAGAAAATTATTCAAAATACGAGATGACAAAAATGAGGAAATGAGGTTCATTTATCTTTCTGTTACCTAAAAATTATTGATTCGAAAATCCTAATGAACGTAGTTACAAAAACAATAATAACGAAGACAGTGGGGATATTGTTAATAATGACAATCTAGTTGAACATGGCG